CTTTTGTAAGAATTTTTTTTACTAAACAAAAAAAAGGTTGGGAGGATAGCCGTCTCTTCTAAGGCTCTTGAGAACATGTATTTATAATAAATATGGAGTGTAACTACATCATATTGCTATGGGACAAGTATTTTTGAAAATTATTCTAATATTAATTGAATGCTATTATGGCCCTAATACTTTCTTCCAATAGGTCAAAGTTCATATTAATATTCCTCTATTGCATGAAATCATCGTGTATTTTTCTAGGCATAGCCATTCCACTTAGAAAAGTAAAAAATACAAAACTATATGTATGTTTAATAACATTAAATTAGAGTATTTGTTCATCAATTTTCTGCTTCATTTATGTGTCTCGATGAAACGAGCCACAAAACATCATGGTTATTAAAATTTTTTTATGTATATTAGGTTGAATATTATTTACATAATAATATGAGATCACAGCAAAGTAGGGAAAAATGGAAGCAAACCAAATGACTCAATTATTGGTAATTAAATTGGAAATTAAAATAAATTAGTAAAAAAACAGTATCTTCGGCCGGACCGAACTTTGAATACCTTCCAGCATTTAGAACGAATTTGAAAATTAAGAAAATCTTTTCAAATCTTAAAAATACCGAATATAGCCGTTATATAGGGGTCTATACAAAGACGTGGATCTGCATAGGCAACTTTTGTCTTAAGCCATTACAATATTCAAATACGAAACTTGAAACAATCCGGTGAATAATGTAGCTAAAATCATCAAAATACTGAATATAGGAAGGTACAGTTATATCGAGGTTTTACGTAGATTTGGACCTGCATAGACAATTTTCTGTCATAGGCTGTAGTAACTATTAGGAACTTCAATACGAAATTTGAAACAACTCCGGTGAATAATGTGGACCGATATATACAATACTCTTCAGAAGGACCCCCTTTTGTGAATTTTCAGAAAATTTCATTAAAAAATTTGGTTACAATCATCAAAATATCAATTTTTTTGGGAGGCTTTATATGGGGACTATACGATATTGTGGACCGATATAGTCCATCTTTGAACGTAAATGTTAATACAAATAGAAAACAAATATATCCTACTACCAAGTGCCCGCTACATCGTAAAGTCCACATTCAAATTTCAAATATTCGTTTCAACAGTTCGTTTTAGGCTTTTTAAGTACTCAATATGAAAAATGGTTCAGTTTGACAAAAATATTTAATCAAAACTTCAAACATCGTACTAAACTTTCAGACTTTTATATATCATTCACGTTTTTCACTTTTCAGGAAGAATAATAGGAAAATGTTTACCGTGTACGCCAATTAGTCTTCAAATTTTTTAATTTGAAGTTTACGGAGGAGAATATAAGAAAAACAATAGCATAATGGACCCACATCCAATTTCTCCGTTAGAAACTATTTCAACGTCTTCATATGTAAACCTTAGAGACAAACTGCGATTTCAATATCCAGTTTCATATTTCAGCTCTATCCCTTTAAAAAATACCAAATTCAGTAAAATTTAGTGCGCATATCCAAAACAATCTACATCTCTCCATCCTAGACACATACATTGATTCAAAATTAGTACAATTTAGTATAATTTTAGTATGCACCTGCAAAATAACCAACTGAGACCTTAACAGGAAATATCAGGATTTTAAGTCTATACCTTCACCCAATATCAAACTATGTATTTTTTAGTACTTTTCGAACAATCATAGTACACATATCCAAAACCACCTCCATATCTCAATTCCAGATAGCAACGGAGACCTTGATATCAAATATGAGGATTCCAGTTCTATACATGCAACCAATACCAAATGTAGTACCATTCAATAGAATTAAGGGACTAATTTCTAAGTCAACTCCAAATCTTTTTCCCAGTACCAGCAGAGATCTAAATATCTAATTTCAGAATTTTATTTCTATCCCTTTACCCAATACCCAATTTAGTACCACTTAGTACTTTTCGTATATTCTTAGTACGAATTAGCAAAACCCCGTCAGATCTCAACGTCTATATCTCTATTCCTTCACCCAAAACCAAATATAGTACCGTCCAGTACTTCTCTTACAATTATAATACACATTCCCGAGACCACCTCCATATGTCCAGGCTATACATGAACTGCGACCCTCACGCCAAATTTCAGATTTTAAGCACTATATGTACACCCAGTACCAAATTCAACCAAAATATAGTTCTACTTCGTACTTTTCATGCACTTGCAATACACATTTCTAAAACCACCTATTCATCACATCCAACCATCCCCAGAGGCCCCAATACAAAATTTCAATCTCAGGTTTCTGGCTGAGAAAAATATTTAGATGTTGCAAGTTGTAAAGAATCGCTGAATTGTTTCGCAAGTTATAACAAATAAAAGTATTCAAAATTCGGGCCCTTTGTGGGAGAGGTACCAAAAAGAGAAATAGTGGGATATGGAAATATGAAGAGAACCGGATGCTTATTTCGTATTTTATAATCGTTTTGGTTATTCGAAAATTTTACCCTATGTGGAGGATGTATCAGGAGGAATGGTCAGATCTTTAGCATCTTTATAAAAGATATTATGTTAATAGAAATATTGAGATGAGTCAACTTTGAATTGAATTGGATGTTAATTTCGCGTTTTATGAGCTTCATGGATATTCAAAATGTTGACCTTTTGTGGGGGAGGTACCAGAAGTAGTGGACCGATATATTCCATCTTAACATCAGACTTTGGGTTAATAAAATTGTTGGGATATGTGAAATTTAACGGACTCTTACATCCCATTTTATAAGAGTGTTTATTATTCAATATTTTGACCCTTTGTGGGAGAGGTACCTGATAAAGTGGACCGATATTGTCGGTTTTTGCACCTGACCTAACACTGACGCAAATATTATGATTTACAAAGTTGGAGCTAAATCGGCTCATCGTTTCTCTTTCTGTGCAGAAAATATATTTTTTGAAAATTTCGACCTTTCGTGATGGAGGAACCACAAGGATCGGACCGATATATTCCACATTCACACCGGAGCTTGGGTTAATAAAAATATGGTGATGTGTGAAATTTGAAGACAATCGGACTGTTACATCACATTTTATAAGAGTTATAAATATTCAGAATATTGACTCTTTGTGGGGAAGGTACTTAATGGAGTTGACCTATATCTTGTGCAGAAAAGTATTTTTTTAAATTTCGAACTTTTGTGGGAAAGATGCCAGAAGGAGTGGACCGATATTGCCCATCTTCGAACTCGATCTAAGTTTGATAATAATATTACGATGTACCAAGTTTGGACCAAATCCGATACTCTGTGCGAGAGTTATCGTGGGTGTAAAACCGTTATTTCAATGATGCGTATTTTGGCCGTATTAAATGATATATACCCTCTCTAGTCATATGGCTGAGGGAATCCTCAGCGTCAGTCCCCAAAAAAAATCTTTCCCAGAATTCAGGGTACCTCTGAAAAAAATTAAAAAATGCAAGAGTTTTTATCAAACCACAGTAGTCCTTTTTACAAAAAATTAACGTACCCAAAATTTGAAATTTTTGTTTTTGATAGAAAGAAAGAATGAAATAACGGGGAAATACTTTCCCGGAATCAGGGTACAAATACCTTCCTGTGGAAAAAATCCAAAAATTTGAGAGTTTTTGCCAAACTAAAGCTCTTCCTTTATTTTTCAATAATTCAAAATCCCTAAAATTTGGAATATAGTTTCTTGAAAAAAGTTAATTTCACCCACAAAAGGAATTGAGGCCAAAATGTTCAGAGAACCGGAAATGGATATGAAATTACAGCTGATTTGATTGGAAATTTTTACCATTTATCCGAAATACCAAAAATTTATGTGGAAGGTAGGCAAAAAGTGGGCCTATATTGAATTTTTTTGCGAGAAGTTATATCCTCACTAAAAAGCCGAAACGTTAAATTACGGTTGGTTTGGTAGCTTAAATGCCAAACATCGGGTTGTAATGGACATGGTGAAATCGACTTACCATTTTTTGCTGATCTCATATATATGTTCTCCCAGAATATTTCGGGAAATTGCAAATGGAATGACAAAATTAATATAATACACAAAAAATTTTCGAAAAGTTCACATTGCCAATATATCTACCACACGCCCTAATGCACTAACCAATTGTCCATAATTTTTGAACCACACAAAAAGAACCCATTCACAATTTGTTCATATTGACCAATTTAATTATTATTTAAAACTGGAAAATGTATTCTCTCATAATCTCTTAATCTAAAATCTGTAATTGCTCGAAATAATTATTTGAAATTTAAAACTAGAGCTCATCAACGAGCTTAGCAGTTGAAGTGGTATACATTTCACTGGTCATTGTGTCGTGATTGAGTGAACATCAAAATATAAATTTTTTTTTTCATCATAGAAAAAATATTTAATAATAATTAAAATGTGGTCAGAAAATTGGTGGTGGAACAATTCGAAAGTATTCGCCGTTTTATTGGGGTTTTTAAGTTTGAAATTGGTTCATGGTAGTTATGTGGAAACACATTATCCCAAAAGTGTTATTGAGGATGCAAATTTGGATGCGGTGAGTGTTTAAAATGTTTAACTTCAGGTGTGGATCCATAAAATATTATTTAACCATTTAAGCCAATATTTTATTCGAATTAGTAGCTATTTGTCCTTTGGTCAAAGCATTTCTGAAAAAAATTTAAGGTTGACTAGGCATATTTTTGGAAGCATGGTGTAATTGATCCACTTCTCCTTCTTTTTTGGTATAAAAAAACCTACTATAGAAGATAAATCCAGCAGGACATTTTTCAGATCTATAGAAGAATTTTATGGTAAAAATTCTGTAGACCATATTGACTTGCTCCATCATCTATAGGGAATTTTTAACAAATGTTAAAAAAGTACACCTTTGGTGACTCGCTTGAGTGTTTAAACTTTACTCTCTACTCTCTCTCTCTCTCTACTCTACTGGATTTTTCTGTTATTATTTTTTATTAAAAAATGATTTTTTGTTTTTTTCAGGCCCAACTTTTGAAGAAGTACCATTATCCGGTTGAAAAACACTTCGTGACAACAAAGGACAACTACATCTTGGGCATGCATCGTCTTCCCAGGCCGGGAGCCCCACCCATATTTATGATGCACGGGCTATTGGATAGTTCGGCCACATGGATTATTATGGGTCCGCAAAATGCTCCAGGTAAGAAATTTTACTGAAAAAAAAATCCCTTTAATCATAGACTTGATCCTACAAAAATGCCCCCCTCCTTTAGCCTACTATTTCTTCGACAATGGCTACGACGTTTGGTTGGGCAATGCCCGAGGCAATCGTTATTCCCGCAATCACACCACAATGGATCCAGACAGCGATCCGGAATTTTGGACATTTAGTTGGCATGAAATTGGCATCCATGACCTGCCAGCCATGATTGATTATATACTCCAGCAGACTGGTTTCAAAAAGATCGGCTATTTTGGCCACTCCCAGGGAACCACGACATTCTGGGTATTGGCCTCAATGCACCCCGAATATAATGAGAAAATCACAATGATGCATGCCTTGGCACCGGTGGCCTTTATGCGACATGTCAAGGCCCCACTGTTGGGCTATGCCAGGAGTTTTGTTAAAATGTCCGAGCCGCGAATCAGAGAATTTATGCCACGCAAAGAAATGTTATGGAGAACATGTCTGGCATCGCCAATTACAGAGGGCACCTGTCTGGAGACCTACTATCAGGTTGTGGGCAAAGATGTGGAGACAACGAATACGGTGGGTTTGGAATTTTAGAAATATATATTTTTTTTTATTCAATGGAAAATTTTCCAGACCATGTTCCCAACAATTGTGGGTCATTTTCCGGCTGGCTGCAATCTCAAACAGATCAGCCATTATATGCAATTAATTGATAGCGACCGATTTTGCCAGTTCGATTATGGTGCAAAGGAAAATATGAAACGTTATGGTAAATCTACACCGCCCGACTATCCGCTAGAGAAGATTACCGCCAATGTGGGTCTGTATTACACGTTGAATGACTATCTGTCCAGTGAGGTGGATGTTAAACGTTTGGCCAAGATTTTACCAAATGTAGTGGAGGATAGTCTGTATCCCCATAAAAAGTGGAACCACATGACCATGTTGTGGGGCATTAATGCCCGTGAGATGGCTCATAAGCGCATGTTGGAAATAATGAAAAATTACTCTTATGAATGAGAGAATATATATTTTTGGGTGTTATAAATGAAATGTAAAGTTTTTTTAATATTTTTGGGAAAATATGTTTAGAGAGGGCCTAGAAGTTATTAAAAAATAAGAAGCAGTTAAAATACTACCAATTATTAGGTAAAGTAAGCATTTCAGTAGGAGGAGTGAAGAAAGGGGTGATAGTTCTTCATTCGCCCATCATCTAAACAAGGCTTCTGAGTCGAGGTTAATTGAGATCGTAAACAGTTTCAAAATCGGAGTCGGAAAGTGGAGTTTAGCGTAAATTTCAAGCATTCGGATCATTGGTACCTTCAAACTTCAGTTTTAGATACAAACTACGACCTCTACTCAGTCTTTGACAAATAAAATTGACTTTCTGCTTGGGATTTATTGGCAATCAACATTTCTTCTATTTTGTAAGGGAGGTACCAGAAGGAGTGGGCCGAAATATTCCATATTTACATTACATCGATGGCTTATAGAAATATTATTATTTTACCATATTTTAGGGAGATACCCTAAAGAATAGGCCAATGAGTTTCATTTTCACTACAATCTTCGAAAAATTATTTTTATTAATTTTATGACATTTGTCCTATTAAAAATGTAAAACCTATTTTTTCGGAGGGTGAATCAAAAGGAGAGGGTCGAAAATGCAATATTCACATCGAATCTCGTTTTTAATCTAGCATTGAGATATACTCAGTTTAAAGAGAATCACTGACCTGTTTCGCATGTTATAAGGGTAATAAGAAGGTCAAATGCTAACCCTTTGTGGGGATGATACCAGAAGGAATGGTCAGATATCTACCATCTTTATAACTAATCTTACATTGATAGAAATATTGAGGCGTGCCAAGTCTGAATGGAATTGGATGTTAATTTCGAGTTATATGAGCTTCGTGGATATTCAAAATTTTGACCCTTTGTGGGGGAGGTACTGATTGAGTGCACAGATATATTCCATCTTCACAGCAGATCGTGTGTTTGTAGAAATAATAAGATGTGTGCTATATGAGTAGAACCGGATGCTTATCTCGGTTTTTATAATCGTTTTGGGTATTCAAAACTTTGACCCTTTGTGTGGATGATACCAGAAGGCATGGTCCGATATCTACCATCTTTATAACTGATCTTGCATTAATAGAAATATTGAGATGTGTCAAGTCTGAATGGAATCGGATGCTAGTTTCGCGTTTTATGAGCTTCATGGATATTCAAAATTTTTACTCTTTGTGGGGGAGGAGTATATATATCCTATCATAACAGCAGATCTTGTGTTAGTAGAAGTAATTGGTTGTGTGAAATATGACGAGAGTCGCATGCTTATTTCGGATTTTTTGATCATTTTGATTATTTCAAACTTTGACCCTTTGTGGGGGAGATACCAGAAGGAATGGTCTGATCTCTACAATATTTGTAACAGATCTTGTGTTTATAGAAATTTCGGGATGTGCTAAGCCTGAATGGAATTGGATGTTAATTTTCTGTTTTATAAATTCATCGATATTCAAAATGTTAACCCTTTATGGGGTAGGCACCAGAAGGAGTGGGTGTGGATCTTCACACCAGGCTGTGGGTTAATAAAAATATTGTGATGTAATTTGAAGACAATCGGACTCTTACATCCATTTTATAAGAGTTATAATTTTTCAAAATTTTGACCCTGAAAGAGTGGACCGATGATGCAAATGTTAGGATTTGCAAAGTTGAAGCAAAATCGGATTGTCTTTTCTCTTTCTGTGCAGTAAATTTTGTTTGAGAATTTTAACATTTTTTCTGGAGGTACCAGAAGGTGTGGTCCGATATTGTCCATCTCGAAAGTCGATCAAAGTTTGATAATAATATTACGAAGTACCAAGTTTGGATCAAATCGGATATTGCCTTCGAGAGTTATTTTGCCCACCAGCCAGACAGACGAATGGACGGACAACTCTCTGCAACGGATTTGGTCCAAAGAGACCAAAGAGGGTCTAAGACCGTTATTTCGACTAAGCATGTTTTGTCTGTATCAAATAATATATACCCTCCCTAGCCATATGGCTGAGGGTATAAACAAAGAAGACACGTGAATCGATGTTTTACTAGTTAACATCGCAAAGTAATCCAAATAGAGGGGGCAAGTTACCCTGTCTTCCATATTTTTGGAAATTTTCAGATTATGATTCCTCGAAGTACGTGTACTTTAGGTATATACACGGTAAAATAAAAAAACTGCAACGAAGTCAAACGCCATAATTTTTACATTTTTTTTTAAATTTTATTGAATGAAAGCAAACGTCGGAAATAGCATCAAATTTTAGAATAAGTTTAGATTTGTTCGAATTGGTCACCTTTGGCACGAATTATGGCCTTCAGACGGCCAATGAAACCGTCACACGCTGCCCGAATGTTGCTCTGAAATACTTTGGCTCATTCCCGACGAAGTGTTTGCTTGAGGTGATCGACAATTTGGTATTTTTTAGTGCCAACCTTGCTTTCCAAAATACCCCAGACACAATAGTCCAACGGATTGTTATCCGTAGATTTTGGAGGCCATTGTGCACTGGAAATGAAGCGAGGAACCTCATTTTATAACCATTCTTGGGTGGCGCTTGCTGAGTGCGATGGTGCTGAGTCCTGTTGGAATGTCCAAGCTCTGCGGCCAAAATGTTTGCGTGACCAAGGCTTTAATACACCCTCCAGAATATTTTCGCGATAATATTCGGCATTTATTCTGATGCCACGGTCGATTAATACGAGCGGAGAGCGACCATCGGCTGTTGTGGCGGCCCACACCATCACCATGGCCGGCGCTTGAGTTCTGGTGGTCAATCGAAGGTGCACATTTTTAGCTGACCTCTTTGGCAAGTAAAGACGATAAATTTGTTTGTTTACAAACTGCTGGACAACGAATGTTTTCTCCTCGGAGAAAACCAAATTCGGCAGTTCACCACTTTCGGCCAAGCGAAGCAACTCTTTAGACCTTTTGATTCTATTTTCTTTCTGTTGCGATGTAAGTTCTTCCACTTTCTGGAGTTTAAATGGCTTTACACCGAGGTCATTTTTCAATATTTGCGAAATGGAATATTGCGAAATGTTCATCTCACGAGCCATTTTTCGGTCACGTCGATCAAGTCCCTTCTTAACTTTTCGAACAATTTCTGCTGTTGATGTTTTCTTCCGTTCACTTCCTTGACGGTAACGAGCGATGGTACGAGACACAAAAGATTAATTCACATTTAAATGCTGGAGTGATCTAAGGATAGCCACTTGTGGTTTTCCAACCAAATATAAAGAAATCACACTATCACGCTTCAATTCCATCACCAATAACTTTTTTTCTGGAAAACTCCCACTAAAATGCTTCTGTACGCTTGTAGACAATATAATGAGCTGTCACTGGAATAATTTTAACAGCTGTCGGATGAGGGGCTGAGAAATGACAGCAGTCTGAGGTTGGTTGCAGTTTTTTCATCTCGCCCTGTAGTGTCTTCAGCAATATTGCAGATAAAAATAAGAGGAATATTTTGTTCGAAAACTTAAACTCTCAAGCGAGTCAAAACATGGGTCTTTTGGTCAATTTTTTAATATAATTAAAAATTCCCTTTAAACCCCTTATGCGTGTCTTCTTTTTTAGCTCTACTTTCATAATCCGCTGGTTTTTTTTCCGTAATTATTAAAAAATTGCAATTTTTTGCTCAGTGTTATTTACACTTCTTTGCTAATTCTCTTCGAACATCAATTTTCTTGAATAATCGTCAATACAAATTCCTTTTTTATTGAAGTACTCAAATTCAATTCTAAATCATTTTCAATTTTATTCAATAATGCAAAATAGTTAACGAAAATGTTTCCTATTCATCGTCTATTCGTTAAATGAAATGAAATTACCTACCCAAAGCCTAATTGAGTGGTACTCCACTCTAATCAAAATGTCATCGGAAATATTCAAACAATTTATCAAAAAATCAACAACAAAAACAGCAGCAATAAAAGCAATTGTCCCTCCCCAGCAAAAATTGCCAACAATTTCCTGCTTTTCGCACAAAAGAATCAACTAAATTCTAATAATAGAGTCCTTTCTTTAGTTGCAATGCAAAAAATTCATTGAATGACAATAGTTGGAAATATGCATTTTTGTTTGAACATTTCTTTTTTTTCTCGCAGAGGTCTGCTGAAGAGCTCCGTAGACAGGCAAAACCGGCGATTGGCAGCAATCTAAACAAAGCCAATTTGATTTTTGTCAAATCACAGACTATTGGTGACAGGCACCAATAAAACTTAATGTCTGTTCGGGTTTTTTGTTTAATTTTTTGCTTTCGGTTGGTTGGGCTGAGTTTCATTTCGTTTGTCCACCCTAGCCATTCGAGCTGTCAGATTTTCGGTTTTGACTATAAACCACCCACCCAATTGTCACAGAGCAGAACGACTCGAAAATATTGAGTGGGGAGATGGGGACCAAATGACTGATGATGTGTCTGAAGCTGTAGAGTTGAAACAGCTGACGACCAAATATTGTAGGGACATCAAAGGCACAGTGTAAGGATTCGAAAAACGAAACTATTAAAAAGTTTCGAAGGAAAGTGGGGAAGAGATTTTTCTAATTCACAATTTTTCTTCAAAAAAGTAACAATATTCTTAAAAATGGAATTGTCAATGACGTTTTTGGAAAACATTTTCTGGGATACTCAAATCTTATTTTTTTAAATCCATTGTGTTTTACTTTCAAAATTTTTGATGAGGATGTCCCTCATGAAAATTCCTCCAAAATACTTTTAAAACAGCTACCATTTCTTAAAGAAAATACTGTTAAAATTTACGATTTGTGGTTAGGAGATCCTTCAAAGTTTTTCTTGATCTCCATGATCCAAAATAACCCTTCAAATTGAGAAGAATCAAAAAATTTAAACTTTAAACACATTTTGAAAATCACTATTTTCGTCCAGGGAGTTGTTTAAAAACCACGGCCAATTTTTTTTTTTTGTACCCGAAATTTCCTTTCTTCGACATTCACAATCTTCCAGATTTTTGAACAGGAGGTTGTTTAAAAAAATTCTTAT